GAGTCGATCAACACCCCAAAGCTTGACAGTCAGTATTATCTCTTCATTGGTCGACATTTTACTCCATAACGTTACACAGTTTTGATGCTGTTTTATGTCTGGTGATCGTGTTAGAATACATGTGGAAGCATCTGTTGTTTCGGTTTCTTTTTCACTTGTGTTTTTTGGAAATTCTGTACAGAAGATGTGTACTAGTGCCCCCTACCGTATAACAATGAAAACACGGATTCTAGGAGCACAAGTATAGCTCAAATATATTTAGACTTTTTCCTCAGTGTAAGTCAAGTATACTTAAATGTCATTTTAGTATATTTCTGAGAAGTACATAAAGCCCATTTCTGAGAAGTACATAAAAAAGTAGACTAAAAGTATACTTTCCTATTTTTAGTTTAAAAGAAGTATACTAATAGCACACTTGAATAAACTTCTTTTTCATAAGGGAAATCGTGATGATTAACCGTGTGAAGTGAAGTCAGGACACTTACGGAAAACTGGAAAAGGAGAGCTGCCTTTCAGAGCATGAAACTCCTGCTCCAGTCTCCGTCGTAAATCTATCTGTTCAAGGAGAACTTTCTGGAGTTCCTCTGAAGGACAGATTACACGATAAATCAAGATCAGACGCTGAGCTGTGCCCGAAATATCAGCTATTACATCTAGAACAGTTACAAAAATGTGTTTTAAACATGTTCAAAAGTTTGGGTTCAGTAGGAGTTTTTAAAGTTTTCAGAAGAAGTCTCTTCTGCTCACCAAGGCTGCATTTATTTGTTTTTAAAAATACAGTAAAATCAGTAAAATTGTGAAATATTATTACTATTTATAATACCCATTTTGGTTTTTAATATTTTTTAAAATACAATTTATTTCTGTGATCAAAGCTGAATTTTCAGCATCATTACTCCAGTCTTCAGTGTCACATGATCATCAAATATGCTGCAAACATTTATTATTATTATCAATGTTGAAAACAGTTGCACTGCTTTAATTAATATAAGGTTCAAAAGATCAGCATTTATTTAAAATCAAAAGTATTAATTTCTTTCAATGGCCTCAAACCTTTCAAGGATAAAGTCTTTGCTTGTCATCTCACCTTTTTCCATGTTCTCAACATCCTTCTTGAGCGATACGGGAGAGTTCGAGTCTTGACTTTGGTCTGCTGAGCAGAAATAAGACGATTTTTAGAAAAAACTTTGAAGGTTTATAACGCATTGCAAGCATCCACTCATGTCAGTTTCTATAGAGTTCATATTAAAGACTGACACACATCATGTAGTTCTAACAGCAACCAGCAGAAGTCAGTCTAACAACAGGATATTTCAGACAAACATATTTGACTCACAAAGTGAAATACTAAATATAATGCTATTTTGCTGGGGTGAGGAAATGGTATTCATATAGCATGAATATGGTATGGCTGCATATTTACTGTAAAGACATTATACAATGAAAATAATATAATATATATCTGACTCCACTAACTCACTCTACAAAATATCTGATTAGTGCATTCAAATGCATTCATTGGAAAAGCCCTTACAATATCCTCAAATTGTGAAAACAGCTGATTTCATTAATGTTACTGCGCTATTGAATCAGGACATTATTCGAAACAGTTTTGATTGCAATCCTTAGGAGTCGGTACGTCTGCACGGCATGTCCGCCGCCTGTGTTTTTGTGTCTAAATCGCAAATGGCCCAAATGAAGTGATCCAACACGTTGGTATAATCTTCCCCTCATTCGACTCTCTCTCCTCTCGTCCTCTCTCTGTCTCATTTGACAAGCAAATTTGCAGACAGTGCCTGAGGATAACAACCTCGTTTGACAGTCAATTAACCGTGAATAGTCAAAGCCAAGGCAGTTTGCATTATATAAATGGAAAATTAGATTATTTTTTCTTCCCTCCCAAGAAACAGAACTATCTTTAAGACACTGCCGTTAGACTCTTTGGAAAATCAGAAGTTCTAATCACGTTTCCAAGTAGCCCCTCGGAGACATTTAGCAATCAGGCAAAGGTGGTTTCATTTAATTTGTTTCATGTAATTTTTTTCAAATACATTATACGTTATATGAGGAGATCATTATCGGCTAGATAATATAAATGTTGCCATAGATGTCATAAAACACTTTTAATGTCTTTCTGACAGATAAAAGGCAATAAGCTATGATCTTTCTAATGGAAGATTTTGCTAGGCAAAAGGCAATTATTTCCGTCTGATATTGTTCAAATGGTGATTGTCACCTTCCTGGCGTTGAGCTGATTGTCTTGCTGAACTGTTATGGCTCCCTACAGATCACATTTCCCAATGACATTGTGGAGAGAGCTGCTCCATTTTAAGAGTGCGGCGAGAGTATATTCTATCCCGTATCTTTTATATTTAGATTAATCCTAATATCCTTGCAGGGATGGGCTAGCTGTGCTGCGCAAATTATTTCACAGCCCTCTTGCTGTAAGTGGCGGATGTAAAGCGGAGATAAAGTGGCGTGCGTTCTTATAATTTTATATGCATGCATACATTATATATATATATATACATATATACTTAATACTTAGTGTCCTGTAGTGTAAAAAACGTATAATGCATGGAAAAATCACATTACAGTTTCCAAATCTGCAACATTGCAACAACATTCACTTCACATTCATTTCTCACCTGAGATGGTGCTTTTGTTTTTGCTTGCATATGCCGGCAGCCCATCGTCTCTGTTCTTGTGAGCCTGCAACCATAAAACACCAGCGATGTCTGATTAGAACTGATTCATAACATCAGGCCAAAGGCTGAACATAAAGCAACAAAATATATCAGTCAGCCAAAAGCACAGAATTGATTAGCCTTGAGAATGACAATGCTGTTATATTTTATATATGATCCTGATGTTTGTTTAGATTTGTCATGCGATATTGTTCAAATGGTGATTGTCACCTTCCTGGCGTTGAGCTGATTGTCTTGCTGAACTGTTATGGCTCCCTACAGATCACATTTTCCCAATGACATTGTGGAGAGAGCTGCTCCATTTTAAGAGTGCGGCGAGAGTATATTCCATCCCGTATCTTTTATATTTAGATTAATCCTAATATCCTTGCAGGGATGGGCTAGCTGTGCTGCGCAAATTATTTCACAGCCCTCTTGCTGTAAGTGGTGGATGTAAAGCGGAGATAAAGTGGCATGCGTTCTTACCTGGATTCTCACGCCAGTATTCGGGCGCCGACGTTTCTGTCTCTGGGACAAAAAAGCTGCTCTGCTCTTTGTTGTCATCTGAAAGAAAAAAATCAAATGTGAATACATGCACACCGATGAATTGAATGTTAATGTAAAGGTGTAAAATTGTATTGTCTTTGTTAATTATCAATTAGTTTGTATGTAGGTATATATATATATATGATGATAAAATGCATGGAATAATCACATTGCAATTTCCACATTCATTATATTGCAACAACATTCACTTCACATTCATTTCTCACCTGAGATGGTGTTTTTGTTTTTGCTTGCATATGCCGGCAGCCCATCGTCTCTGCTCTTGTGAGCCTGCAACCATAAAACACCAGTGATGTCTGATTAGAACTGATTCATAACACCAGGCCAAAGGTTGAACATAGAGCAACAAAATATATCAGTCAGCCAAAAGCACAGAATTGATTAGCCTTGAGCACGACATCGCTGTCATGTCTTATATATGATCCTGATGTTTGTTTGGCTTTGTCGTGCTACCGAGTTCCTCTAGATAAATCAACACGCGTGAGGCTAATTGCTAAAGAATTCCCGTTTCGATCCCCGTCGCTCTGTCTGTTAATATAGCGTCAGAGGGTTAAAGATTAAAAGGGCTAATAGGCAGAAGTGACAAAGGGGAGCAAACATAATGTCGCCATTAAACAAAACACGACTGGGCTTATTAGAAGGGATCAAAGAGCTCTGAATATTTCATTTCTGCAGGGAACACAGGCTATCAATCTTGTTATGCATTTGGACCCTGCCAGCCAATGGCCCGCATTTAAATAATTAGTTAAAGTGCCTGGAGGGAATATTTACATTTCTGTACGCGGCGCTTTCCTCCAGCGAGCCGTGAATGGGGCTGGGGACTTTGAGGATGGTGGGTGGACTGACAGCGAGGCTGGGTTTGTCCTCTGTGTGCTGCGCAAATTATTTCACAGCCCTCTTGCTGTAAGTGGCGGATGTAAAGCGGAGATAAAGTGGCGTGCGTTCTTACTTGGATTCTCACGCCAGTATTCAGGTGCCGACGTTTCTGTCTCTGGAATGCAAAAGCTGCTCTGCTCTTTGCTGTCATCTGAAAGAAAACAAAATTAAAATGGGAATGCATGTACACAAATTAATTGCATGTTAAGTTGTAAAGGTTTAAAATTGTATTATTTTTGTTAATTATCGTTATTTAGTTTGTTATTTATTTATTTATTTTAATCATTTATTTTTATTTAATTATTTTGTTTAAATATGTCTTTAATGTGCATTTAATTTGACAATAATAATTGGTTTAAATATTTTATATATTTAATATTTTTAATTTGATATATAAATAATTATGTTATATTTCAAAAACATTTATATGTGTGTGTATGTATAGTAAACATTGCAAAATAATAATGTATTTAATTTTACAATAATAATTGGTATATATATATATATATATATATATATATAATGTATGCATGCATATAAAATTATGTTTTAATATTTAAAAAAAATATGTATGTGTGTGTGTATATATATATATATATATATATATATATATATATATATATATATATGTGTGTGTGTGT